AGAAATCGTGATTTTCCTCAGGAAGGTAGTTCAGCCTATCCCTGAGACAGCAATGATAAACCATTCCATGGGAGCTGCCTCTTTTTCAACAGACTGCCTAAAGGAAACATAACTTGTGTAGGCTCAATACCTCATACTTAATTGACTAAAGAATGTTAAAAGGCAAACTAACAAAATCCTGGCTCCGTTATACCGGTGAGGTTTTGATTTTGTTGAATTCAGAAGTGTCAATATAATTCTTTCACAGTCCTCTGGAAAACCCTGCTCTGGCAGTCGAGTAAATGGCTGAGCACAGGGCACCTGAAGCAAACCTCTTGACCTCTTGTTTGGTGAAGTGACATGACTGACACAGAAATGCAGGATCAGTGGGCTCAGCTTGGGGTTTCCCAAGATAAACAAGAAAGCATTGCTTCAATATTGGCTTAATTTATATTTTTGAAAAATTAAATACCTTCTGAGCCATAACAAATGGAGCCATCACAGCACTAACAGACATGAAAATGCATCCATCGCTCTGCTCACGCTACGAAAAAGCCTGCACCCAAACTCCCAGTTGGGTATTATTTCCTGGATTTACTACAAAAAGAACAATGCATGTTTATTAAAAACAGAGTGGCTTTTAGCAGCAGCAGTAGCTCCGCACACAATACACCAAAGCACAACGGGGGCCTTCTCCCGGCAATTGATGTGGAGAAGACCTTTGGCAGAGCAATATGGAAATTCGCATTCAGTGGCTTGATTAATTTGGAGTTTGGAAGCCACCTTCCCGAGATGGATGACAGTGGCTTATTAAATAAATAAATAAGGAGCAAGCTGAAGTCGCGCCGGCGTTATAGCATCAGATTTATGTCATCTGCGCAGGCAGAAAGGGCCTTTGTGGCCGCTATTGTTCGGGCTGTCAGCGGAGGCCTTGGCAGCGGCCTTTTGTCAGGACTTGTGTCGGGGGTAATGATGGGGAGATGACGGCGGTTGGTCTGTTTGATGTAACCCAGTTTTATGGACGCCGGAGTTGGCATCCGCACACGCGGGCGGAAGAAAATAAGCGTGCCGGGGCTCCGGGCCTGCCTGGCCTGGGCTCCCCTGAGCGGAGCCGGCCGGGGAAGGTGCCAGCCGCGGCTCTGGGGCTCAGCCCGCCGCCTCGCGTGTCACCCGGCCGGCCGAAACGGGAGGGAAGGTGCCCCTGTGCATGGCAGCTCGTGTCGGCTCCCCACCACCATGGCTCCCAGCCCTGAAGCTGGGGAGCGTGGGCAGGTGCTGTGGGAGTGTCGGGAGCAAGCAGCAGGGTTCGGAGCACATGTGCCTAAAATTATGTGGAAGTAATTAAGAGTTGTCTGGTACAAATCAGAATAACACGGTATATGATAGTAACCTGGCTTGCAGGGTAGGAACATTAGAAAAAATACTGCACCACAAGTTACTCTGTGGCATTTTTAGAGGGGTGAAGGAGCACTGATTTAACATCTTTTCAGGAGAATCAATCTGCAATCCCTGTGGTTTTTGGTAAGATTTTTGTACTTTCGACTTGATATTTTAATGTCTTATCCTAAAAAGCAGAAGACTTTAAAAAGCAAAATTTTATTTAGACTCCCATGTGATGCATTTTCTCTACAAAAACATAAAAGAAGTTTATGTTGCTCATGTGGGAGTCACTTAGCTCTTCCACATTAAACATGAAAAGTAAATAGATCACCGCAAGTCATCAAAAAGTGTGGCACTGACTTGAAGGTGGCAGATAAAAAACCTTCTCATTTTAGAATCAACTAAGAGCAACCCACTTTATTATGCCACAAAGCTAATATCATTGGGTAAAAATTAAAGACTCTTTGCCCCCACTGAGAGTACCTATCCAGTCTGAGTTCTGTGGCTACAGATGAGTTTGCGTGAGGACTGAACAGTCGCCATTCACATTAGAAGTCTCAGTCAATTAAAGTCAATTAAACTCTACTAATGCAGAACTGAGTAAATGGGAATTTATTATAAAGACTTCCTGAACTTCCTACTTTGGCATTGCTTTGGAGGCAACTAGCTAAAAGTGAACTGAGTTTGACATCAGTGAACCCAGTGAGAAAGACTCTTGATCCAGAAGCCCTTTATTGAGGGGTGGAGGGAGGGGGGAGAGTGTTAGAACAAAGCCATCGAGATTCCTACTTAATTTGTGAATAGATTTTTTATAAAGTTCCACTGTGTTAAACAAACAAACAAACAAACAAACTGTAAGCCTGGACAAACTCTTAGTGTCTCATGCCACTATTAGCTACATGCTAAAGAGATTTGCCAGGGTGGAATTACAACACAGGAGTTTGCTATAAAATCCACTGGGCAGAATTTAATCTCCTTTGTATAATACAAAATCCATTAAAATACTGATCATTATTCTGGATTATGCTCAAACGTTAGTCTTTTTGGAAATGAGAGTGTTAGTTCTTTGTTCTATGCATGTAATGGAGAAAAATGTTTTCTTTAACCAACTTACTTGCTCTTAAGTTGGAGGGGGAGCTGAATGTAAAGAAGAAATACATTTTACTAGCTAGTATTGTCCCATTAGCCAGATGTGTGCTCCAGATGACCATTTCACATCAGGATTTCAGAGCAATGTTTGCTAAGGTCTGTGATGTTACTAAGATTGCATGGTATAGATTTGGTATTAACTGAGATCTGTAATAGAGTAATTTCATTTTAGAAACTGCACATTCTGTTCATCTTTATGTGAACTGGCTGAGTTCAGTGTAAGCAATGCCAATTGGCTTTGGAAAACTGTGTAGATTGGTAAAACAGAATGGCTGTGGTAAGCTAAGAAGGTCTATACTACATGAAACATTTCAAATTTAAGGGCTAAACATTATAGGTAACCATACAAGTCCATTTAGACTAAGTCTTGTAAATTCATGTTATATATCTAACTTTGGAAAGTATTCATGCTATATATCTTTAACTTTGGAATATCTTTTAATAGCATTACGTAGAATAATTTGTGTGACTTTTAAGTAACTCCTGCAAACACACCATCAGCTTCTAAAAGTGGTTGATGGTTGCCTTGGTGCAGTTTTCATCCACAGCTGGCATGAGTTTTTGTCCACTAGTTTTTGTAACCTTCTAGAAACAGAAAATCCTCTTTCCCAAAGGTTGTCTTCAGTTCTGCGTGACTTTAGTTGGTGAATTGAGAGCTTTGGGTATTTTGGAAGAAGCAGACCTCATTTTGCAGCATTTATCTACCCTAATTTACCCATGTAAAAACCCACAAAAACAACAAAAAACCAAAATTGTTTTTGAAACCTCCTTCTGCTGTGCATGCTGTGACTTATCGTTATCTCTGGAGCTATTCTTGCATGTGCTCAGTTGTGAGTGCAAATTACTGTTAGACAATGTCTTGAGGTGGTATTCAAAATGTTTTAAAGAAATTAGGGCATATATCAAAAAGAGGGCACCTAGTTATGGTTTGCACTGAAAATAGTACACCAAAAAGCTGGAATGTTACTTGGGGTGAAACAAAGCCCATATTTTCATTTTGCAGAAGTATCAAAAACACCTTCTAACCCATTCAAATATTGCTCATTCACCACCACTGTAAATATGAATATGGGCCAGGCAATCATTCTGATTACCAGTGTAATGTTCAACACCTGCACACATCAGAGATTTTGTTTGGGTTTGGCAGGCCTCAAGTATACCATTGTCTGAAAGCCTCTGATTATCATTGATTTAGCCATGCAGACTCATAGGAAGAAAATATATTTAAACAAGACAGCTCTTTTTAAATGTGTACCAGGAGTTAGCTAATCAGTCATGGAAATCAATGGGTGTTTTACCAGAGCAGCGTTTCATCAAGAATGCTGGGCATGTAGATTTCTAAAACATTCTCCATAAAATAAATAAAATGTTCGTGTTTGTTTCCTGCTCTTATATTAACTATATGGCTCTGGGGTCCTTCTATCAATCTTCTCAAATCTCCTTCTTTTCTTTCTACATTTCCTTTTGTGCTGTTTTATTCTGTAGGATTTACTCCTTTCTTGTTTGCTTGTTTGTAGCAAATAGTTCCAGTTGTATTTCTTGGGGGACAGGAAGGATTTTTAGGCAAGGATCTGGTCCCCCAGGTACTGAGATCACCATTTCATTTAAAGCCTGAATTGTCAAGCAGCCCTTAGAGTGCAGTCAGACATACATTCCAGGAAACTTTGTCCCACTAGCTGGGTGCAAAAACAGACCAAGACTGTTACCTTGACATTTTCTTTGTAGATTCTTGCACTCCTCTCATCTGGCCAATCTGATTGAGTTTATTAGGCAAAAAAATTTAGCACCTTCTAATTGGTAAAATGTTTTTGCTAAAACTGTTTTCCACATTCTTGATTAAGGGACTAGAAGAAAAATTTAATTCCAAAATTCCTCTTTGACCTATACATTAATATATCTCAAGATCCAAAAGCAAACAAAAATTCATGGACAACTATGTCTGAGAAGCAATGACTGCTGCAGGTGTTTATACCAACTAGTAAAGGATAATTCCGAATCAGAAAACTGTGTTTGTGTTAAAACAATGCACTTGGAGATCTTTCTACCACTGTTTTGTAATGTGCTGAAATGTTTTTTGCTTATTTCTGAGAAAAGGTTCTGAGTCCTAACCAAATCTTCCAAAAAGAGAATGAAAAGGAGAGAAAATCTTTTTGGAGTATGCCCTGACCTATAAAAGCACCGCTCTGCAGGAGTTACAAATGGCTTTTTGGCTAAGTTCAGCCGCTGAAAGGGCCTCTACTTTTGTCTCCAGCTCTGACAATAGCTGTGGAGAAGAATGTCTTCTTTAAAATTTCTGAGGATCAAGCTGAACCTTCAGCTGCCAGAGTTTCGTCTCTCCTCTTCCCTGCACACCCCATCCCCCCCACCCCGAAAAAAAAAAAAAAGTTAAAGGGCCTAATCCTGCTTCCATTGAAATTGATGTAACTTTATCTCTTGTCAGTATTTTTTTAAAGGTAGGCTCCTCTTTTGGGCTGCTGGAAGTATTTTTGAGGTTACTTTTTAGTATACTTCTAGCTGAAATCAGGTTTCATATTTTACAATACAGTATAAAAATAGCTAAGGAAAGGAGACAAGATTTCATTTCTGTAAAAACAGTTTGGGTTTGATAATAAGCAGTAGAAAGTTGATGCTTTCTACATGGTTGTAGACAGTGTAAGCTCTCGTACTACCAGTTGCAAGCTTCTGTATCAGGGCTATGGGCAGCTGTCCCCCAGCACTGAGGATCCAGCACCAGCAGGCTCTCTGGAATTGGGTAAGTAACACAGTTACTCCAGGAAACACCTGAGATGTCAGCAGGTGTCCTTGTTTATTTTTTTTTAAAGGAGTGCCTTGGTACCTATATTTCTGATATTCCAGTGCTACCCCACTTGCCCTGGCAGTTAGAGCTGAGCTCAGTCTCACCATCACTGACCAGGTTCAAACTCCAAAAATGCCCAGGTTGTTCAGCCATTTGCTGTTTTGATAAGGATCTGTTATTCTACCTGCTGAAGCTCAGCAAGAAAGAAACACCAACAGGTTTTAATATGGCAGAAATGTACCTGTGCCTCAGTCCTCCTCAAAGCAGCTGGTATCCTGGAGCACAGGAGAACATGTTTTTGGAGAACATGGACAGTCGGGGAGACGCAGGATCCCCTTTCGTGGGACAAACTCATGTGCACAGTGACCTGCCCCTCCTTTTGTCCAGCCATGTTTTAGGACAAAGACGTGCCATGAGATGAGGTAGCTCCTGCTGGACTGGAGATGCTCTGCAGTAGGAAGGGGACCCATCAGACCAACTTGGTTTCTCCATCCCTTGGTCCTCACAAAGAACTGTGGAGGACTGAGGACACCAGAATACAATAGGAAGGGTTAAAAGCCTCCTTAATTGCAATTATCTTAAATTGCTAAGACAGAAGCCTTGTGATGCATCTGTAGCTTTTAAAGTGCAAGTTTTTAGGGTAACTTCAGCAGTCAGTAAGGGGAGAGAGGCGCATTGGGAGGGCAGATCTTCCAGCCCAAAGACAGTAGGCTTCTTCTTTGCAAATACCTGATTTTCTTGGTTGATAAGTAGGGATCACCTACACAGGTAATGCTTTAGATTACCAACATGAGATGT